CAGAGTAAATTATCAGCGTCATCTGTGCAGTGATTTTTTGATGGCTGACCTGATGGCTGTTCCAGTCAAGTAGCCAACTCTATGAGCCTGCCTTATTTGGCTATGTCTGGTTTACTTTGTTGCTATTTTGGTTCTAGAGGACAGTCAGTTTGGTCAGTCCCTGTGAGAAAGCCTGGTCATGAAAATAGTGAGGTTTAAAGAGGGGGTATTTTGGCGCTTTATACCATGTTATAATGTTGTTCTCTCATCCAAAACATGCCCAAAGAGTTTTTTTCTCATGCATCCTTGCACGTTTGAGTAATCTAGTGATCTATTCAAACCCTAATTACAGTTAGCAGTACAACTCTGTCCAACAATACATTGTTTTAAGTATATATAGCATTTTCAAAACAATAAAAGGTAACATGGTGATATAAATATGTTGTATGTGTTAGCAATTAATACCCCAATAGTACTGTAATATCCCCTCTTAAAGGGACAGTTCAGAATTTTGAACATAGGACCTCATTTCCTAGTGAACAAGATTGTTGGGGATGTGTGGAGACATTTTTTTCAAATATTCCATCCAGTCTTCTTATTTGCAGAGGTTGCTAGTGCTAGGCTAGTGCATGTCAATGGCCATAGTTATCCTGCCATTAAAAACAGACTTACCCACTCCACAAAACACCCGAAGCACAACAATTATAACGCCAGACTGTCGATGTGAATGTCTGTGTCGATAAAATAATTTTAGAATTGAAACCAACCTTGCATTTGAAGGATTTATGCCTGAGCAGCAGCAGCAAGTTGTACTTCCTGATAGAAAGCTTGGCAGCTGCGGAATGATATATGAGAAAATAGTCCCTAAACATACGACAATTCATGTGATGCAAGGTTAGTTTTTTTTCAAACATTATTCTATCAACATAAAACATTTACATTGACAGTCTGGCGTTATAATAGATTTGTTTCAGGTGCTTTGTGGAGTGGGTAAGACTGTTTTTAATGGCAGGCTAACTATGGCCATTGACATGCACTAGCCTAGCACCATCGACCTCTGCAAATACAAGGACTGAATGGAATATTTAAAAAAGTGTCTCCACATGTCTCCAATGCTCTGGCTCACTAGGAAATGAGGGCCTATGTCCAAAATTCTGAACTGTCCCTTTAAGAATGAGTTAAAGGTGCACTGTGTAACTCTCTGGTTCAGGGTCTGTCACCTGCTTGTTTCCACAGATTTCATTGCTCTGCGATACTATGAAACATTCCAGTCAAGGCAATAACATCTCCATGAACAAAAAGCATTTGACGAGCCCTCCACCAGAAGTTACACAATGCACCTTTAAGTTTGAAGACATGTTGAACATTGGAGATTATTTTCTGACTGACTTTTCATGAAGAGACCCTAAATGTCTTTTCAGATATATTCTAGTTTCAGTCATCATTGCACAAAAAGCTACAGTCACAGCTGAGTTTACCTTCATTTCCTCACACAAAACTGAACTCTTTCCACAGTGAAAGAGGTACCATAATTATATGTGAACACAGCAGAGAAGCTGCAGCAGTTTCACATTTTCAGCCTCTGGAGCTTTTTATAGAACTGTTACTCATTATCAGACTCGAGCGCTCTGACTCATTTAGACCTGAAAAGTTCACCACACAGGTTTTGGTAGGTTCTAGTCATTTCTAGAGTTTTGCTTTATAATAACAGTACACTGATTGCAAATGTGGTTCCTGTGTGGCATGAGCTGATGGCACAGGGGACAGCTGCTATCTACTCCATGGCATCTGTGCGTAATTGAGTAATAGGCAAAATTATGAAACACTTTTAACCTTCTGGAATGCACCCTATAAGAGCAATGCATTAGAGATTGCCGATATACTGGACCGACATTTGCTTTTCTTTTTTTTAGCAGATCAGCTATCAGACTTAAATCTCCATTACAGGCCGATATTTTGATTTGGCCAATCAGCTTTCTAAATCATACACATAAGACTTAAAGTTGCATTGTGTGACTTTTCTAGAGGAGCATCCGTCAAATGCTTTTCTTCATGGAGACCAGACCAAGTTACAAGTCAGATCTGTGAAGAGGCAACTTCACTCACAATCAGAATGCCTGTTTTTTTAGGTAATTTTGAGCAATAAAACCATCAAGTAGATCTGTTTAATGTCATATAGTGGAATGTTCTACATAGAAGCATGACATATCCATAGAAATAAGAAGATGACAGACGCCCAACCAAAAAGTTACAGAGTGCACCTTTAAGTAAGAAAAGATAACTGCACAAAACTACACAACTCTCTTATAGATTTATAGTTAAGAGATTTTATAGATTAAAGGGCTGTGGGTCAGTTTGTTGTGCATTTTAATTTCAGAATCGAGTCTATTTATCAGCCCAAAAATATCGATAGAGTTTTTATCAGTTATCGGCTGATGTGTAGTCTAAACAATCGTATGGACCATGAAAAACACACTGCTCAATCTCTGCCATGCATACCTGTTGTTGATACTAGATGGGACATGTCTTCAGTCTGCAGACCAGCCCAGTGACAAAGCGTATCAAATGATCAGATTTGCCTCGATCAGATAACACAGTCATTTGCATTTCAAATCAGCTCGACTTAAACTCAAAAATTCTTTTCGATGGCTTTCACCCACTGTTCCAAAAGAAAGTCACATCAGTCCATCAACGTAAATCGCTACTTTAGTGAATACGCATAAACATCTCTGGCTGCCAGATCAATCATCACAGTCATATCAAAGTTTGAATGGATGGCAAAGGCTGGAGTTTTTAATATAATTTCCTCCACAAACAGCAAAATATTCTGTACAAAAACTGCTAACCTTGTAGTTTATATCTGTACAAATATCTTCTGAAATGTGATTCTTGTATTAGCTTGTCAGTTCTTATTTCAGGCTTTTTTGTTTAAAATGTGAACTTTGAAAAGAATCCTGTCCTATCCTATACTCAAACCAAATCACAATCAAAATGCTTGTCAGAAAAATCACAGTTTGATATTTTTTTCCAAATACTTCAGCCCTGCTAGCCTATAAATAAAGTTAAGCCGCTGTGAATTAGTTGCTACAAGAGACGAGGATAAGAGCAGGGTCAGACGGAGGCAGGTGATTCACTGTGGCAACCCTTGAAACAGGAACAGCTGACAGGAAAACATGGAGTAGACTAGCCCTGATTCTGCATCTAAATATGTTGACTCTGACTGATCGGTCCCTCTTTAAGTCCTGCTTGTTTAGTCTGGACTTACTCAGAGTCTGCCCAAACAAATACTTTTAGGTTTTAAGACATTTAGAGATTTAGAGACAGATTTATTGTTTGGCCAATATATCAGGGCGATATTTGGACTTTTTGTGTATGTGATATCAGATATACATTTCCAGCATTGGCCAGTATTTTGTTTTGGGCAATCTGCAGCCTAAAAAAACACACAAAGCTTTATATTAACACTTGAATACAAAGAGATAACTGCACAAAATGTTACTACACCTCTCTCTTATAGGTTTGTAGTAAAAAAGTTGATGTGAGTGACTTTGTAGTAAATTAAAATGACAGAATTTGAGGAAAAATAATGTAAATAGGCCCAAGATATCGACCCAAAAATAGCGGCCATGGGTTGCTCTGTATTCAAAACCAATATCAGTCGATTTCCAGTTTTGATTTTTTTGTTTAAGGCTGTTGGCCTGTTCAATATTCTCGGTCAACTAAAGACATTCCCTGTGCATAGATTAGCTGACTAAAAGGGTGCTTTGCATGGCACTGCAAAAGCTTTCAAAGTATTAGGATCTTATGCAACAAACTAATGTACACAGAGGGGTAGCCTACTAGTCAAAAGGGATGTACTAATATCCGTATCAATATCGATTCATTGACTAAATGACTTAAGAACTGCAGTCCCTATTAAACTTCATATGTTACACAAAATTGTCTCTTGTAAATTTTAAGACATTTTAAAAACATGCCCGGAGTTTTGTTTTATTCACACATGTTTAAGTAATCATTTATTATCAGTCTGTGTACATTTCCTAAGCTCAAAATGTTCTTTTCCACCTTGTGATGTCATGAAGCTATAGTTCTCAAGTAAACAGCTACCTTTTACTTTTTATTTGCAGCGATAGGAAATTCCACGGCTGAAATTAACCCAATGATTCTAGGAAAAGTATATGGAGTTTAAAAACACAGTGGAGAGCGTCCTGTCATACCACATGACATCACAAGGTGGAACACAGTGTTTTCTGTTTGAGAGAATACCTCAACCTAAAAATGCAGGGTTTGTGTGTTAAATATGTATGAATATAACAAAATTCCATATGTTTATAATGAGGAAACAACATTAAATCATAGATCAGAAAATAGTGATCTTTTATTCATATCCTTATAATGGTCTTTTTGGTTCTTTTTTGCTGTTGTAAAGTGCTATCCGTTATAAGATAAATAAACACAAACTGCTTTCCTGGCTACTCATGCACAAATATGGTCAATCCCTGAATCATTCTGTGTGCAGAGCAGCGCAAATGACACGATAAGTTATGATAAGTTTCAGAAAATGTCATGATGTTGCTCTACGCTCATTTGGCCAGCTGCTGCATCACGGATGAGGTTGCTATGGAAACGAGCCTGGGGGGTGGCGAGGGGGGGGGGGGTTGGGGGTCTAATCCTGACGAGCATCAAGTGACTTTATGACAGAAGACAGTCCACACAGGGGTTAAGGAAAGAGCAAAAGAGACGACGCGTAAATGGACGAATATTGCGCATTGTCTGGCAACATATTCTAGGTTTTATGATCGCCACATGTGAGTTGAAGGCGCGTGGAAGTTGCAAAATTATTGGTTAGTCAAAAAAAAAAATGAAGGGATGTGCTCAAAATCCAAGCTGTAAAAACAATAACTGGTCAAACTGAATGACTAGTTGAGCTCCATAGCCTGAAGTCAGCGTTGCGCACTGGTAGTCTGACCACAACGCTGGACTTTTTACCCCGGTGTGAAGAGGGGTTTCCCGCCGCTTACCTGCACGTACAGCGGCTTCCTGAACACCCCCCACGGAACCGGAGCTCTTGCCATGGCGAAACGTAGCGCATCTCACACCGGCTGCTCGAATCGGGAGGCAAAATCTACATCTGTGCACGCGTAAAAGGGCTACTTCTCCAGACTCCTACGCCTCCTCCGTCACTACAACGCAGTAAGCCTGAAATGTTCCAGAGCGGAGCATTATGTCTCAGCGTCGCCGCGTTGCTGTGAGGAGAGAAGGCAGGCAGGCAGGCACACTGGAGCTGGAGAGACTGCAGGAGGAGACGATGTGATCCACCGTGAGCGCCTCTGGAGAGTGTGACCAATGAGAGGCGAGGAGGAGCCGCGGAGGAACCGGCACTGAGTCATATGGTGGCGCGCTCTGGGACAAGCGGATGGGTGCTGTGGGGCAGGTGGTAATTTCAGAATTCGATGCTTGTGACTCGAAAAAAAAAAAGATGATGATATGCAAATAGGCTTCTTTACTTTCTCATGCTAGGTTATTTCCAATCTTCTTTGAAACAGACCTAACAACAAGTGTCCTAAGGATTGTCAACAGTATTTAAAATCTGTTTGATACAAAAACTGTGGAAACTAAAAGACTAAACATTTCCTGAACAGCTTTAGAATGATCTTGAGCTGTATCCAACAAGTACAAGACCACATAGACTAGCAAACGTCCAAAATCAGTATCGAGTATCGAGTTTATTCCTTAGTATCGAAATCAAGTTTGAAATTTTAGTATCTTGACAACACTAGTCCCTTTTTTGTATACAATTAAAGCATTAGTAGGCTATATAGTTCATAATGTTCATGCTGCATTATAAAGGCACTGTGTAAGTTTTCTTTTCATTTCTTTTCTTTTTTTTTTATTGGATCATTTGCAGAATTACAAAACCAAAACAAAACATAGACCACAACTACATGGATCATGACAGAAAGGGTCCAAGCTGAAGCAAAGGTACCGAACGCATGAACAGCAAGTTTGCATTTACAGCTTCACTCACTGTACATATAAGAGACAAAATATAAATTAAAACAAACAAAATTTAATGCGTAAATCGAGACCTCTATATCTTTCAAAACATAACACTACTCTATACTCTTTTTAAAGGCTTCTACAGTGTTGGACTTTTTTAAAATCATCAACTCCGGTTGTTCCATAACTTAACCCCTCTACCAGAAATACAATCACTTTTTTTAGTTCTTATCTTCATTTTTTTTAAAGATGCCATTTTTTGTGTGTAAGTTTTCGAGCTGAGTGTCCATTACCTGCTTGTCTCCAAAGAAATGTTATTACTATCCCTAGAATATTCCACAGTATGGCATTAAACTTACCTACAGTATTTCTGTGTAGACTAAACTAGTTGATGCCACCAGGCCAAGATCCAGGTCAGATCTGCTGGAGGCAAGCCCATTACGAACACTTCACATTAAGAACACTTTTTTGTAAGTAGGCTACATGTGTTTACAACAACAAAAATAAGAAAACAAAACAAAACAAAAAAAGAACTGCAAAAATCAGATAGTTAATGTCATATTGTGGATATTTCACGGCAATTGTATTTAGACCTGTGACCATAACACATTTTGAAGCACGATTTATTTCTAAAGACAAATATAACGATAAACGATAATACTGAAACTACTTTACATCACTGACACAATAACAATACTGCAATGCTACTTTTCTTTTTTAAATATTTTGATATGACCTGTGCAAATCATTACAGTCAGAGTAGAAATAATTAAGATTTAATAGTGCTTAATTTGTCATGTCATTTTTTACTGTATTGGACTGTGTATTACTGTAAGACACTTTATGATACTATCTCGCGGTACTTCAGCTACTGTTACATCCATAGTAGTAAACAGAGAAGTGGTAAGGACATGTTACAGTCTGGTCCTGTAAAACAAAGCACCACATGTTTCAGCTGTAAAGAGAAAAATAATTACCTCCGCCAAGGAGGTTATGTTTTTGCCGGCGTTTGTCTGTTTGTTTGTTTGTTTGTTTGTTTGTCTGTTAGCAACATAACTCAAAAAGTTATGGACCGATTTTGATGAAATTTTCAGAATTTGTTGGAAATGTGAAAAGGAAGAACTGATTTCATTTTGGGGGTGATCCGGATGAAATCCTGGATTCTGGATCACTTTGAAATTTTAGTTAACATTGTGGTAAATGGGGCCAAAAATTTTGTTTCTCAATATCTCGGTTAATTACTGACCAAACCCCATGAAATTTGACTCAGGGATGGACAATGGGATCCTCTTTCATATTCCAAATTGAAAGATACGAGACAAATATTTATGGAAAACACAATTAATATGAGGGGGACTGTAGTCCTTGGCGGAGGTCTGCGCTCTCTGAGTGCTTTTCTAGTTGAATATATTTCTTGAAGAGAAGCATAAAGTCTTCGTCCATTTTATCAAGTCAAGTCTCAACAACTGCAAGTCTCCACCTCTGGATTATACTTTTTTTTGCACTATCTTCCTATGATTTCTTGTATATAGCTGAGATTTTGTATTTTATTACTTATTTTTCCATTTTATTTTGACTTGTACACACATATGTACACATACATTTACATAATTATGACTTATTTGACACCTGTCTCCTGCTATCTTTTTGCTACTTATTAAGAATTTATTATGACTATTTATATTTTTTCTCTTTGTTATTATATTATATTATGATGTCTGAGCTCCTGTGTCCAAATAATTTCCCTTGTGTATCAATAAATTTTGTCCAAGTCCAAGTCTAAGTCTTAAGTTTGTAGCGTTACTTCCAGCTGTATTTTACCACCAGTGAGTATGGAGTAATGCATTGTTATTCATATTATTTGGCATTTTACTTCAGTGAGTGGCATTGCACAAGGTCAGTCTGAGAAAGCATAATTCAAAAATGCAAATAACAACAAAATGAGTAATATATAAACAAACTGCTTCCATGAGTGTCAAAAGTGTTGGAGCATCATCTGTCAAGAACCTGGCTGCAGATAAGGCATTTCCTGTGATTATGTAAGCCACATTACCTTGAAGCGCTGTGAGTGGGCTGATAAAACATCTATTTCCATATGAGAACAAACAGCCTTCAGATGTGGAGAGGGGGACATGCCACTGAAGAGTCACAAACAGACAGAGGACATTACAGCATTTATATGTATTTAACATTCGCCCAATATTCCATACGGTTTATTTAAGGAATGTAATGGAATGGAATGGTGCAGGAATGTAATGTAAATGTTTATTTGTAGATTTTGTGCTGTGGAGGGACAAATGCAATGATAACAAACCTTCATAACAGATTCAGCATTTGTGGATGTTCCTGTCTGGATATTTCAAAACAGGAAACTAGCCTCTTTCCCTATAGAATTGAAAAATAAACTATGTTCAGAACTCTCATTATTTAGGTTTGGACTGTCATTAATATTTGCCACAAAACATTCAAAACTAGAACAGTAACAACACAACAGTGAGAAGTACCAAGTCTTATAACAGAGGTGTATTAAAGACACACTATGTGACTTTTCTGACAGATTTGCCTACAATTTTACAATGCATAGCAAAGGAGAAATTGTAATTTAATTCTGTCAGATTGACAGAGGTTTTTGATTGAAGATGTTTCACAGCTCATCCAAGCTCATCCACTCTCCACTTCATGAACTGAAGAAACAGCTTTGTCCAGTTGACAGTCTGAATTTCTCCTTTGCTATGGATCCTACCTGGACAACTGAAGGATTACACAAACATTTTCTATATTGCACTGTTTAAATTACTGGTGTTTTTATTACAATTGTAAATATTCTCCATACACCTGACTCGTGACTTGGCTCTGTGGTATCACCTGCTTGTCTCGATCTAGACATAGATTTTTAATGCTGTACTGTGAAACATTCCATGCTAAGCAATACATGGGGACAAGCAGCTGCTATACCCTCCAGCAGAAAAGTTACATCGTGCACCTTTAAATATCCTCTAGTCTACCAACAGTCCTGTTGTCTGCATTTAATATAAACTGTGACGAATTCTGTATAAATACAGTAAACAGCAGTCTTTATACAAAAGTCTGACACTGTTTATGGCTGGAGCATGAAAACATTTATTTATCTGAGTGCTGATCCATAAATCCACTGTTTAAACTTAATTTTGCAATTACCTGTATAATTGCATTTCAGATTACAGGATCAATCAAAACAACATCGAGCCCTTCACCTACTGATGAGCCTGCTGTTTACAATTAGAAAACTCAATTTTGTTCCTGAGATAATGCATTTAGCACCAGGACATACAGCCCACCGTGTGCAAGGTTGATTAATTCAGTATTACATATATGACAATTGGTGCAGTAAAAGAAACCTGGTAAAATTGTAATCATGCATTCGTATAAAACTGTTTTGTTTAAGACCTTATTCGCGATATTGTCTAAAAATCAAGATATGAATTTGATATGAAGTAGTTTGAGAGTATCAGAATACATATGTGGTTTACAAGTCTTAAGTCTAATAATCCATCGCATAATCAATTGTTTGTCGCCCTCTTGTGGTAGTGGTGGTAACACGCATCAACGTTAGGCAATATTTTTCCCAGCCCTGAACTTCACGTGGCCCTAAACACTCTTATAGCTATATAGAAATATTTAGAGTTCAGGAATATATTCAATAATTCACAAACATAGACGCACTGTAATTGTCTTTCTTCGGGACCTTGGGATGTAGGCCTGCTGCCCAGTCACACTTCACTACACTGGAAGTTTGTCTCCATCTTGTGGCCGCTGTTAACTACTGCAAGACAAACTTTTTTTAAGATCGCTTTAGACGTTTCCCTCCAATATGCAGTCAATGGAGCAGACATGGCTCACAGCAGTAGACATCAGGACACGACAACAAGAAAAAAAGATGTATTCGTTAACAGGAAGAATGGGATTCAGTGTTTATTTTACTATGTAGACCAGCGGTTTCAATAGATGAGACCAAAGAGCGATTGGGGAGGATCCACACACGCGGACAAAACCAGGACTGATCCCAAGACAGAACCAGGACTCAAACAAGGACTAAACCAGAACTAAACCATTACTAAACCAGGACTGAACCAGGACTAAACCAGGACTGAACCAGAACTCTGGTGCGCCCGTTTAGACCGTCTAGTGACCGCAGGCGAAAGGACCTCTAGCTCGGGGTTGCCCTTCTCTCTCTCAAGTCCAAGATTAGTCCTGGTTTAGACCTGGCTTAGTCCTGGTTTAGT